ATGTCTAACAAAGAAATACTTCAGGAACGAAGATCTTAGGAAAGATCTCGGAATCGATTCAATCGGGAAAGCAATTGTACAATACGCCAAAAGATACGAAGAGATTAGTCAATTATTATCCAAATATCTAAGCAAACGATCTATACAGTCAACTTATCTTAAAAAGATTAATTAGAAAACACCCAAACGACTTAACAAACTGAAAGGATATAAGCTAAAAATTTAGGTAACTATATGCTACTGTCATTAACGCGTCATATATAAATTTGCCAAATATCTTCGAAATAAATTGCAATCTACGATAAAGTGCTTTAAAAAATTACAAAATAGAGGAAGATAGAAATAAAAATTTGAATGGTTATGTACAAGTAGGAATAGAGTGGAAGTGAAGGAAAATGGCCACAGAAAATTCAATAAAACTGCAATGTCCTGACGTGATCTATCGTCGTGTACGAAAAGAAGATCAGACACACGGCGGCAGCTAGTGGGGAAAGGGTCGAAGATGGAACGATGAATAAAATGTGTTCGCGGATTTAGGGGCAAATTTAGTGCCTCAAAGTGGGTTATGAATAAAAAGAGAAATTTATTGTAATGTAAATATAAAACAAGAATACTATTGAAATGAACTTACTATAAAAAATATTTTATATGAATAATGTCTTAATTTAATCAAATATTAATGTAAATTAATTGTTAAATATGATAGTGTAATACAATATTCAGTTAATAAATCATTATGAAATATGTACCTACACGCCACATATTGTTTTATATGTTTTATTGTTTTCATAATCATAAAGATTTATTGACAAAGCATAGTTATGTGATTGTTATAAAGAATGGATCTTTTGAAACATTTATCACATATCTGAATAAAGTAATAAAAAAATTCATCTAGATAATCAAGAAACAATAGAATTGTCGTAATCCTCACGTTGCACATGGTTAGTAAATTTAATAACACTTATTTGAAACGTCGTCTCTTGTTCGGAATTTTGAATTCCCAAGGTAGAATCAAATGGAATTGCCGAAACTTACAAGTAGTAGTTAGTAAAAGAAATATAAATAGCATTGATACAAAAATAATCGATATTGTTTCGTGCATATTGTGATAGAAATAGCATTAGATAGAATAAAAAAATACAATTCTATATAATTATTGTTACAACTCAAATTTTTCTTTAATACCGATAAACTCTCATTTTATTCAATCTATAATACTAAAATACTGTAAAAGCTATAAAATTTAATCTAGCAGAAAACCTCAAAACAATAGCCAAATACTCTGAGTCAAAATCTTAATAATTTTGTACTAGTTGAATGAAAAAGTTAGCAAAAAGAATTAAAAAATGATTTAAAAAATTCTAATTATACATCAACAAAATACGATAAAATTTTTATTTTTTCTAAATTACACATACAAATCTAACACTAGTTATAAAAAAGCCGAATACGTTATAATTAGTTTGAATATTTAATATGCAGCTTTCTAATCACGAATGGATTTAAACACCAGGCAATATTTATCCAATAATCGTATCGTTAGGTCATAGGGTGAGCTTCTAATTTTTGGGCAATTAAAATTAGGATTCATTTCCAAAATTAATATGTATACTGTATTTATATTTTACGATTAAATAATATAATTTCAAATCTGATTTAGATTGGTTACTTGTAATTTAACGATAGAGGTTGAAAGTTAAGAAAGGTTACAATACATTGCCCCTAAAGATATCTGAAATCGTCTCACACCCAAGTCTCCATCCTCACCCTCGTCGGCTTCGCAAAGCCTTTTGACTCTTCATTCGAGGTCACATCCAGAGACAAAAGCGAGGTATCTGAACGTGAACACCACGAAAAAGCGTTTTTCGGCGGAACGCGGCGACCGTAAGGTATGAGTAGATTTCGAGCCGAAAGCCAGAGCCGAAATAAAGCAAAGAAGGAACACGGTGGATAAATTGACCGGTAGCCATTCTACCAATGGAGGGAGAGAAAGAGGGTGACCAGGGGTCAGAAAAGACCGACCAACCATGCCTGATTCTCTGGATCTCTCTCTAGCTTGCCGAAGGGAAGATAAAGGAGGGGTGGCAAAGAGGATGGGTGGTGAGTGCATTCGGCGAAAGGAGGAGAGAAGGTTCCGTGAGAGTACGCGAACGATAATTCGGAGCCGCGCGGCCGACTCAAAGGACCCGCGGGACGATATATCAATGCCCTGCTTGCAGAACAATTCGAACTATCCGCGATACACAAAGAAAAATACCAAATCGAATGCCTGGAATAGCGGTGAGCGGCTTCTTCCATCGCTTCTCTCTCTTCCACCCTCTGTTGGCTCCATCTTTCTCTCTCTTTTTAGCATGAAGCCTTCCTGAAGAGAAAGAAGGTATGGGTAGGTGTGTTCTGTCTTCGTCTTTCTATTGATAGTCTCTGCTTTGTCAGGTATGTATTTGTGTGTACGTGTGTGTGCGTGCGTGTAGGTGTATGGATAACGTTTTCCTCGAGTTGAGACACGTTGGACTGCCCGATGCCAATGGACTAGCTTCGAGGACTATGTTCGGGGACTTTAAGGGTATTTGCCAATATGTATAATGCAAAAGTTTAGGTGTGTGAGATGGGGAGATGGCAGTTGTTTCTATCTAGCGAAGATGGCGATTTTTAGTGTTGTAGGTATAGTGTGGATTTTTATGCATTTATATAAAATTTAAAGATGCAAAAATTACACAGAATGCATATGATATATAAAAATATTAAAATAACTCAAATACAGTACTCGTTATAATTCTTAATAGATAGCAAGAACATCTATTTAAGGTCTATTGTCATAATTGTCTCCATAAAAATATAAACTGCATAAAAATCCGTAGTCTAGTTATTGGATTTAACTCTTTAAACACTGTTTTTATATACTTAAACAGATAAATACTTGTATTTAAACGGTCGATATTAAGATTTTAATTAAGTTTGGAATATAGAAATCGCTTATTGACGACTCCATTTTGATTAGTTTATTATAGGGATAATTATAATTTCGTATTTATACTGCACTTTGTCCTACAAAAGAAGTAATTGTATTTGTTTACGAGCGTATATATTTATGTGTGGAAGTTCACTGAATATCTCAAAACAAAGTTCATTTGTATTTTGCTCCTTCATATTTTGCGTTTTGAGAGAATGATTTATGACAATATATCCGTAGTACTCAAAGGATTAAAGTCAGATAACTGAGTGAGAATTACGTATAAAATTTGTGTATCTTAAATGCAAGAGATTGAAATTGCTTTTTCGAAAAAGGCACAATGGTAAGCATATGCATGTACTTCTGTTCAAAAGAATCAGGACATTAGCTTACTTTTCATAAAAAAATATTTTATAATTAAAAAATTACAGATATAGTGTATTAGAATTATTTTATTCCTTGGGAAAGAGAAGAAATTGAACGTTATTATATGATTAGCAGCAAAGTGCATTTTTTCAAACAAAAAGCTATTACAAAATTTATATAATAATATAATTAAAATATATTAAAAGTTTTATACTATCGTATATAAAAAATAATTTTAATCGTAATATTATCTAATCTACGCCGTGTCATTCATATGCTCGTCACTGTATTAAAATTGCCCTGTATATTGACACATTCTAATAAAAAAAAAAGAACGTAACATTACTTATTCACTTTATTGACATACAGAATAACATTTAACATCACAGTCGAAGAATTATCGACATTTACACCCTTCACTAACATAAGCCAAATATTCTAAATCATTTACTCAATCTCAAACTAAACACCAACTCGCCTCCTATTTAACCTTCAAGAGTCCCAATTGAACCCTTCAAACAACCTCCATCGACTCCTTACCACCCTCCATAAACAAGCAATTACTTCTCCTCGCACTGTCCTAAGTACCTCATGCTTCATTCAAACATCCTTTATAGTCTATATTATGCCTTTCCTTATCCAATCATCTCCAGTTTAACCACTCATCGACCATTGATTCATTGCGAGAAAACGAGATATTTGCCACAAAATAAAACGAAGGTTTACTTCTTTTGTTTTTTATCAGAATTTTATATTATTATATTATTATGCACTTACGTTTTACTTTTTATGCATTATTATTTTACATTATCGTATAAGACATATTAGCATTTGATGCACGGCTATAGATGAAAACGATGTACCACAATAAGCATAAAATTAGGAAAAAACTAAAATCATAAGATTGGCAAAGAACTAAAATTTACACGTCCTGAATGCAGAAATATAATTGGAGCTAACTCGAAATTATTTCTTCCTGTCTCCTTCAAATGTATTGTATGTATCTAACGTTTAATAATTACGAGTTAATTTTCACTAGCAGTAGTAAATATATGTTATAATAACTAATAGTTAATAAATAATACTAAAAATATAATGTAACACATTTTACATTTTGAATTTTCACTGCAATTATTAACTGAAGTATTTGTGGTTCTTCTGATTTCGATCGTACATTTAATATTGCTTGCATTATGTTCGGATATTTCGTGATCATTGCAGTTCACTTCTCGCTGTCAGACTTGAACATATCGATTCTCCGGAGAAGTGAACCGAATGTCCGCGAAACATTAGAATAAAGCGCAAAACACCACTAAAAACACGATCAAAATGCAAACAACTACAAATATTCATATGTCATCAATATAGATTTATTACACATGTTATTTAAGATCAAATTTAAATTTAATAATAATCATATAACGTTTGAATTGGTATTACAGATGCTCTTGCTTGAAACTATAAACATGTGAATTTGCAAATAATTGTTCCAGTCCAAAATTTAAATTGTCTCTATAGAATACGTCTATATCAATAGATGTTCTTAGACTTTGGATTTATAATATACAATGCAACAGTGGCTGCAAAAAGTATTTGCACATTGTATTTATAATGGAATTATATACTTAATTAATTAAGTCCGGGTATATTAAATTTCGTATCATTTGATAGTATTATAGGTACTTTTATGTAACTACAAAAATTTGTTACTATGAGAATGAAATAGAGAACCTGATAATAGAACGCTTTATTGGAAAATGAGGATATGTGTAAAAGTACGTTTCGTAAGCACTGTATATCGTTTTCAGCTGCTATATAAACGCAATAAACGCAGAAAGGACAAATCCAGCAGGCAGATCCACTATCTGGCGCAGAACAGAACTATACGTCAATCGAGTGATGGAGCAGCGGTTTGGTTATAATTGGATCAGTTTAGTTAGGTATTGCAAATATTGGCAGCCAGGGAAGCTGGCGACCCAGTGATGAAACCTAATTGGGTAAGTCGGCCTGGCTTGGCGCCAAACGAACCGGCCCAGCTTCGAATTCTAGATAGCCCTGTCGATGATGCCTTCCCATCTCTAACCTCTCTCTCCACTCTTCATCCTTGCTTTCTGTGTATTTCACGATGCCGCCTCATCCGTCGTCGCGACGCACGGAAATTGACACGTAAATACAACAGTGTTGGTGTACGTGAAAATGAAAATGGAGGTTGGGGAATTCGTTCGAGCGACTGGTTTAATTGGACTGCAATGTTGCGATGGGACGCGACTACGCGACGTCCAAATTGCATTGGAAGAGGAACGGACCGGCCACGGACCACGAGAGGGGAATGATGATGAGAGATACCAGAGAAAGGGATAATTAGAATTACCTAAACAAGGGAATAGTGAAGAAGAAGCAACCATAAAATACATAATTACAAAACATACAAACGAATACACTTAAGAGTATGATGTAAATCAATGTAAATACAAATTTGGCAGAAATTTAACACAGACTTCTAATAAATTTTGATTTTGATTGAATACTTTAACACAAACTATTTCGAAGACTTTTTATATTTTATTGAAATTAAATAGTATTTAGAATGATTAAAATGCAGATATAGAATCTTAAATAATTGTAAGAAGAATTCTAAAATATACTCCCATCGTTGCACGTAACGACGCATGGTTTTGTAATATTATCTTTTGTTGTAAGTTTTTTTCCATAATTAATCATGACAAATAAGTAATGCGAGGCTTCAATAAAATCAGATTTTACGACTGTTTACATAATCATAGGTTGAAAGAGGATATATTCCAATATACAAAATATATAAAAACAAATGAAAGATGTGCTATTCACATATGTGTAAATTAATTCCGAAAATACGTTTGTTATTTTTCTGGGACATTCTATACTATTTTATTCATTACTCTTAAGTACATATAATTGACTTCTTTATTTCTATATAAAAATATTTTTATTATTTATATATTTTCTTTTAATGATATAGGTAATAATAAAAGAAAGTCACCAACTATAACAAAAAATTATTCAATGTATAAATTTAATATCTCCTATGTTGAATATACTTAGAAATATTACACGTCATCGTTGACCAGTTTTAATTTTCCAAACATAAAATTCCATTAAAAAATAATATTTCATCTATTACTTGAATACATCGTAGCTTTTCTAGAGGAATGACGCACTTAAGGAAAGTAATTTTTTAATTTAAAAAAATCGATTTGAAATAGAAGATTCCAAGTAGAAAATTATTTATTACTCAACCTTCTAACGATAAAAACATTTTTCTTTTTATATAATTCCATTAATATACTTTGAATTGAGAGAAAAATATTGCTTATGTATATTACTTACTACTTAGAAAAAAGTTAAGCAGTTTTTGCGAATTGCGATATTCTTTTTGTTGAATAATATGATTTTATTAAATAATTAGCTGTATTAAATATTGTTTACTATATAATGTTTACATATTACAATATATATACTGCATGTATATAATGTAAATATGATAAATATTACAATAATATAGTAAACAATAAACAATATTACAGTATTACAAAATGTAAATATAAAATACATATATTATATATTACATATATAAACAATACCTGGAACGTTATATATTGTAATATTATTTACTGAATATTGTAGTGAATATTATATTCTACTAAATATTTTACTTTTAGTCAATTTTTGTAGGTATCTCAAAACTGGCCATCTTTGAGATGTCTCGCTCTTCTGGAGAATCGACGACTTTTTATATTTTTATATATTGCATATATTTCCATATAAAATTCCTATATGCCATATACCAACACTAAGAATTACACTCCACTTCATATACACATTCTACTCTTAGTAAATGTGCCATGCCATTTATATTTTCTGTACGTTCTATATTTACCATATATTGCATATTTTTATATATTGTACGTTCTTCACCTACTATACGAATAATAAAGAATTATATAACTCTAAATACATATATTTCGTTTTTTGTAAATAACCCTACATAGCACTGGAGAGGAATCTGTAGCCTTGGACGTTCTTCCTGTCCGCGAGGAACGCGATACTTTGAAAAGAAATTTCGGTACGGGGTGAACGAACCGTAGAAAAGCGACGTGCTCGCCGCTCGGGATGCAGCGTGCATTGTAAACGAGCCGGGCGACAAGTGTGCACTTGATAGTGTTGACCTTTCAATGACGCTAAGCTACTTCTCATCGTTGCCGTTACCATCTCCTCTTTCTCCCTGTATTCTCTTCTCACGCTCCACCTAGACTCTAGACAATCCACGGCTAATTTTCAAGAAATCGTTAAACATACCTCACTCCGCCAATCCTCTCCTTTAGTATCACAATTCTAATGCTAGACTTTAACTAATAACTATCGCCTTAATCAATACGATTAATACAAATAAGTTTTTAGGAAAACTTTCTAGCTTCTAAATATTTTTGTAGGTAAAAACAAAAATTGTTTTTAAAAAATCTAGCTTCTAAAATTTTTCATAATTTTCGTAATGTTACGTAACTTTTAACTATTCAAATTGTTTAATATCACAGATATATTTCCAAGTTTTCAGTAATTTATGATATTTTTTGTACAGCTTTGCAGTTTTTGTAACCTTTGAAGTTTTTTTTAGCAGCGTTTGACATTTTTAATAATTTTCGAAGCTTTATGTAATTATCTATGTAATTTCTCAATATTTTCGTAATTTTCGCTTTTGAACTTTTTCATAGTTCTCAAAATTTAGTATTACTTTCGTATCTTACAAAACATTTGTCTAGCTCTAGAAATTCTTTTTCTGTAAATCTTGAGAATTTTTATAACTTCAGTAAATATGAACATAAAAATCAGCAATTCTTGACAATCCTAATATCATAACAGAAGTTATATAGTAACGAAAAGTCGAATGAGATGAAATCAAGAGGACAGGCCAGAATAAACGTTTAATTTGGAGTTAAATTGCTACAAACATGATATGATATGAAAACAGGCACCGGAGACTGATCGTGATTGACGACTATCAAGCAAATGAAACTATTCGCTGGTTCCACAGAATACTGAGAGCAAGCGGATGGGAAACGTAAACGGGCGTCGGAGGTCGTGGCAAGTTCGAGGTTAATCGTTCGTTTGGCATGGTCTGCCTCTTGGACTGCCCACGTTATATAACTTTAAAACGAATGAGAAAAAATGATATTAACGTAAATGTCAAATATATATCTACTAACTGTACCCATTAAGGACATTAAAGTATACTCATTTGCATATTTTTTACTAGACAAGGACAAATTTTAGATTTTTTATTACGATATAAATATGTATGCATGTATAACTATATGTACAATAGTCTGCTGAATTTTGTGCATTTTTATAATTTCGTAAACATAACTAAAGGAATAGAGTTTAAATAGAAACTTGCTTTATTTGCCAAATATTATAATATATACTTTATTTTGGATATTATATTTTTGCATATTATACGAATTATGTACAATGTTGCATGTTCAAATTTCTCGTAATATATATATATAACACTAGTACACTATATATTACACTAGTACTACATATACTATTACATAATATATATGATTATATATTATGGGATAATTAATATAATAAGCAATTATTATTTGTGATTTATCTTTGTCACAGGTTCTCAAACTTTTATGAAATTATCATTTTTGGATTATTCATCCGTCAATTTTCGATAAATAAAATTCTCCTAATGAACATGTACACTACTCATACTCATGAACATGTACATTTTCTTCTTATATTATATTATACTCTTATATTTTGCGATCTACTCTTTGGGAATTTATAATCTATGGCATAATAGCGATTAATTAGACTACGAATTTTTCTACGTCTATAGGAGATTTGAATCTGTAAAATCCTATAAAATGCACGTATGCAAAAATATATAAAATATTTAGATTATAGCATTTATTATAATATCCTAGATGAAACAATTCTCTAGATCCCATTTTTTAATTATATTCATAAAAACATGAATTTGCATAAATATGGGCAGTCTAATGATAATAGTGTTGATGTTACACACATGTAGAATATCTTTTGATTGCACGATTTGTTATGATAAATTAAAAAGTTATAATTCCAAAATTTTAAATATGCGATTTTGTTCGAAATTCTCATATAAAAATAAAATATTCTTATTTACATGCTTCCCACAGCCAACAACAATTTCAATAAACAATTTAAAACAATCATTAATTCATTCCATTAATTTCATTTTCATCGATTCCAATTCATTACATTAATTCCACAAGAAGGTGATAATTATCGCGGTTTGTTATTAATTTCTCATTAATTCGCACATTTTCGTAATGGCTACGTACAGTTATTGCAAATCGAGCAAAGTGTCCGGATACTTACAAGCGGTAGTGTAAAATGAGTGACGAAAGGAGAAAGGAGAGAAGGCAGAGGATGCTCGATGCTCGCGAGTACGCTCGCACACGCGATCATAGGTGCGTTGTATACATATGTATAGACTGGCTATACAATCTGACGGTGGATCACGTGAGCGGAGGGCCCAACGGCTGCCACGGCCCCAATGAATAATTCATGTCGAGCCATGAAGTCACGGGGACCCATGATCGTCGTCGTAACGCACGCAGCGCTGCTACGCTTGCTGCTTCTCTCTCCACGAGAATCGTTGCCTGGCTTTTACGCGGCTATTACTTGCCTTCGTTGCTGTCTATCCTTGCCGAAACTAGATTCAAGGATAAAACAAGCTTCCACGTTGATTGATTTTTGGAATATTTTTCGTGTATAAAGTTTTTAGAATGTTAATTGTGAGACTGGAGAAATTTATTGATTTGTTTTAAGAAATTTGAAAGCTGTTAGATTTGAGCATCAAAGAAACAGATAAAATTGCGCAGAACAAATTTCGATATTTAATTGTGAAGAATAAATGCAAGGATAAATTTAGAATACATTAATATAAAAATAGAAGTATTGCCACATTTAGCATTAAAGCTACTAATTAGCGTAATAAAGGATAGAACTTATACCAAGGAAGTCAAAGTACAAGGAAAATTATTTTAAATTACAAGAGAAATACAAAATCTTCTAAAATTCCTAAAATTACATTATTGTAAATCAATAAAATTTCTATGAAAATTATGAATTGAGTTTTAAATGTTATATTTTGTATACGCTTGTATCATAAAATATATATCCAAATCATTGTGCTTAAAACGTGACAACATTTAAATTATAATTCAATTACTTCTTGATAATGCTAATGTGTATAATGCACTTCGCAACTATCTGAAAAATGTTATCAATAAACATTTACTGAAATCGTAAATTATTTCAAACTAATTACATAAGATCATATATTTTTTAAATAATGATTATTCAAATGTTTTATTCAAATAATGTTCTAATCTGCAGTATACTGTTTATTTTATACCAAATTCGCCGAGAAAGATAATATGATAATGTTTGTAGTTGACTTAGTTCACTAAGTATGCCATTTACAACATATACTTCCAAAATATGTGAAAGTAATCTACGAATCGTTGAACATTTATATTCATGGATAATGCACTATTCTTTATCTTGCATCCACTTCTATTGTATTCGTTGTTAGATTTACGATGGTATATAGTTTACCTCGCCCTTGGATCTTAATTATAACTGAAAGTACAGTTATCTTCTTGTTTTATTCACTCGTTTATTGCTGTATCTAACTTAATTTCATGCAGCATAAACTTACCATTTTTCAATCTGACTGATTTCGAGTTCGTAACTAATATTAACAGGATTATATATACTTTTTTCATTATAAACTGATTAAAGAATGTTATAAAACTTGTGAAGGAAGTGGAAAGTTTGTATCGTTGACTTTCATTAATAGCATTAATAAAAAGTAGCAGTTTATAATTGAATTCTATTATAATGAAGACGCAAAAATCTTTGTGAATGAAGCTTCCAATGACTTTTTTTTAAAAGGCTTCAGAAATGTATGCCTGATGAAAATATAATGATAGTAACAAATAAAACAATAATATAACTCTTCAGACTATAGCGTCATAAAACAACATATTTATGTTCTTATGTACAAAGCAACAATAAAACAAGTTTCAGTCTTTGGTAGAGAACGTACCAACTTTATAATAATGCTTTGTAGTATTTTATTTTCCATTTATTTTAATAAAAATCATTTTACAGGAGATGCGGGGACTTTTGTAAGTGACTGTATATCAACTAAATACTACTATTCAGTTATGATAATTTAACTCAGTTTCAGTCTTCCATTTACGAATATATTCATCAGAACCAATTCCAACTTTGACGAATTCGAGAGACTGGACAGGTAGCATGTAAGTAAATATAAAATATAGAACAACATTTTCTCGTCCGATACTCAATAAACTTTCAAACTGGATATCCTTGAAGATAAAGCGACATATAAAAAAATGTTATTCTACATATTCTTATTTTTTTACAAGCTATTATACCATATCCACTTGTATATACCCCAATATTGTATATAGCCAAACCCTGCGTAGAAGCAATCATACTACTGCAATAAATAACGTCGAATACAATTTGGAACAGGTATCAAAGCATAAAGCGAATTAAAGCATTGAGAGCAATATTGTTTCACTCATTCGTAATTTAAAAAATATTGCTAGTCATAACATTAAAATATTGGCTACGATTTGAATTTTATAAATGACACTATATGTATACATGTTGGTACCTTTTGTGTATTATACGGAGCATTATGACGAATTCAAAGAGCATATTAAAAATATATAGTAAATGTATGGTACTTTTGTTTATATAATACCACGTTTTTAGTAATGAAAAGCAACATTCTATTTATTTACATTGTTCGAAAGTTAATCGTTATATTAAGTTGGAAAGATGCGTATTCTAATACATATTTCCATGATTATAAACTTAATATTGTCAAATCGAGGTGTTACAAGATTAACGACAGTTAAATACTACTATAACAAGTTCTCACAATTTTCTACATATTCAACAGTTATGTTAATATTAATTGATACTTGGCATGAAATCCTTCATCTTTATCTACATAAGTGTAATAGATGTATATAGCATAAATAAGTCGACCTTGCTGTTTTTTCCTTTTTTTTTTTTCGCAACTTCAGTTTCTTCGAAAATCATCAAGCACCGTGGCAATGAACACTATAAAGAAGATCAGCTTCAGACATCGAATTCTCGAGAAGCGAAATAATTTCGATCCAAGTGTATCGTGCTTTGCTTACACGAGAATAATTCTTTGGAAGACGCGAATAGAGAAGAGAGAGGCGATGAGGAGAGAAACAGTGCGTCAGCTCCCGCCAGAAATAACATGGATATACTTAGACGGCCCTCCGTGCAAGATCCAACCAAACCACGCTTCTCCGAGGCCAATTCGAGTCCTAATGAAAACTACTCGCGTCGACTCTCTTCAGGATGAGGGGCCGTGAACGTCCAGACCCCTCATTCTACCTGATCGTTATCCGTTTTGCTGTGAATCGAAACAACATTTCAATGACTCGATTCCAAATTGCGACTTCCACGTACTGATGCTGATTAAAAGTTAGAAATTGTCGGTTTTAACAATTTAGCACTACATATTATAAAATGGCGAACAATTCAGAATAAATATCCGCAATTTACTAATCTACCATTGAAATAATGTTTAAGAAATTCTATATTATACTGCAAAATTTTATTGCAAACGGTAAGTTTGGTAAATTTTAGTATTTATACAATTTACTGCAATTACTTTATACTGCATTATCTATTAATTCTACTGTTCTATAAACATAATATTTAATAAATTCTATTAGAAATTAATTACAACATAATCATTCTAAGTGAGCAGTTCTATAAAAGTAATTGTACCATAATAAAAATATCGAAAGTTCGACAATTCTTATGAATATAAAACATATTCTTTTTGTGTTAATGTTTGTTTTGTGTTAATTTACATCCGAGTCACAATCTCCTTTTACACATGTACAGAATTAAAAAACTTTAATAAACATACAACATAAAATTATTATACATTTTATCATTCATTTTATAGTATTTTAGTATCACATACAGTTAACTTATTCAACTTTCAATTAATAACAAATCCTAGTTATAACTTTAGTAATTACTACTTATTTTCACAAATTATGTACCTATTAAAAAAGTAAGAACGTCAATAAAGAAACTGTGTAAAATATAAATTTTTATTAATTACCGTTTAAAAGAATAGGACGTGAATGAGAGGTAGATAACATGAATGATAGGAAGATCTCAATAACGATAAATTTGCAATTTCTGTAACACGGTGTAAATGCACAGGCGTATATACTGTCAGAAATAAATCTACCTTAGTATAAAAATAAAACTAGAACGAAAAGGTTTCACATATAAATCACTAAGAGACCGATGTTATGATAAACCGCTTGCAAGCTGAAGAAACCGCCGTGCCGTGCGGTTGCAAGGAAGGACCCAGTACTAATAAAGAAAAGTACCGTTTCGTGGATTTTTAATGAATATCATTGCCTTAGTAATGGCCTATATTGTTACTTATTGGATAAAGTCAACTTAAATATATCGGTGTAATTTATTCAAATTCTTTTAACACTAGAACAGATAATAGTCTCTATTATGTTTGTATAAATATATTGTATATAAATAATTATAATCAAGATGAAAATAAAATGGAAATATATAATTATATACCTCAATAAATATAATCTCAAAATAAATATAGTAAATGTAAAAGTCAACGTTAAATTGTGATAAAAGTATCTCCATATATATGTCTTTAATACGTAATTTCAAAAGAAAAGAATTAATTTTGAAACAATATAAAATCCTTTTTACAATGTATCGAATTAATCTAATACAATGGCCTCATAACAAGAAACTTCTGTAAGCACAGTATTAAAACTTAATACATATCTCAATACCTTTTCAATACCTCAATAACAGACAATATTTAAAATTATAAAATAAAATTACAAACATATTAAAGCTTTTATTATTACGACTAATTCTTTAAATTCTATATCATTCTATTAGACAAAAATCGAATTCCAATTTTAAATTTAATTTCTCGTCTACTGTAATCTGCTGTTAAGCATGCGATTACAATTTTAAAAAATTACAAAACCTCCAAGATGAGTAGTAAGATTTTCGCTATCTTTCTTTCGCCTGCATTCCGTCAGTTCGACAAAGAAGCTCCGGAATATATCTGTCTGGTAATAAGTCTGGTAATCAGACACCGGAATATACAGTATCGTTTTCACGTATTATTATTATCGGCTAGATTAGATTAACGAACCAGTCATTAACTACGTTTGTATCGCGTTGAGAAGTCTCATTGGTATTTTCTCTTCGTCGACTTGTTACTCCCCCCTTTCTTTCGCGCCCTCTCTTTCTGCATCCTGTTGGCCTGATGCTTGATTTGTCATAACCACTCTGTCATCGTTCATGGAATTCCCCGAGCAAAAATTACTTGAAAATTTAAATGCAGTTCTATTGATTATATTACTATTTTATTAATCTTTTCTTTAGAGAAATTGAACATTTTCTATTATCAGATCTAGAGTTAGAATTTCTGTATTACTGTATTGTTGCAGAAACAAAGATTCTTTCTTAAGCTTCGAAACTGTTTTTAATTTACAGGAAATTAGATTTGCTTTTAATTCTGTACAATTAATAATACAAAATTATTCTAGATATAGTGAGCTTCCATTACATATTATCGTATGTTATTAATTTTTTGCGCTCGACGACTTTTTCGGTCAGGCTAAGTAGAAACTCAAAATGATTTTGCGCATACGTGACGAGTGTCTTACAGGCAGCATAAAATGATTTTATATACAAATTAATTTACAAAAACATTAAATTCTAATAACTTATCTATATTTACATCTTTGAAAATATGATTTTGTAATATTAATTACTGTATTTTTTTGTATGATAATTCATAAAGCATTCACCAAGATGCATCCTTGGTTTGGCCAAAATTCTTCCTTGGTGACATTATGCCATGTTTGCCAAATTGAATGTGATAACAGTATCACTATCTCCATCACTGCTTTCATGTTCACTATCAACAATTCTTTCATGAATACTATCAACTATATCTCGTTTCTCAACAGTTTAAAATCAAATTCATCTTTGTTTGAGCTAATTTCACTTCCGAAATCCATTTTTTAGGGTTTCTAAACTATAGTAATTTTTCCATGACCGAATTTGAATTAACGTCGAAAACGTTGTCAGAACCATAGTTTCGGAAAAGTTTGGGATTAAATAATTTATCTCCATTTTAAAGTGTAACGCTTTACACTTCCTAATAAAGAGCATAAAAATCTAATGAACCTATTTACGAACCAATACTGCGCTCTCATCAATTGGAGATGTCGAAATCTAGCATAAACAGAGACTGTTGCTTCTCACTCGCCACTCGAGTTGCCGCCTGAAACGCCGTAACGACTGAGAGTCGCCTCTCGAGCGCAAAGGGTTAAATTTTTAAATTATTGAGATAAATTTGTAGGTAGATTTGTTCCTCTCTTTTTTTTCACAAATAATATATTTCAAACTTTGCGATATGATAACTCCATTTAGAATAGATTGTAAAATGTTTGATAATTATTTAGAAAGTTCCCGCTCTTTCGAATTTCGATAATTTTGTATGTTCTCCGGGACATGATACTGAATAACTTTTACTTGTACACGTAGGTGTCGCTCGGTCTTATATAGTTTCCGAGATATTTATAAAAAACTGTCGATGCCACTACAATGAATTCAGCCTATAATTGTGCGTCCGTAACATGTATCTTGTGACGTATGCGTTAGTATTGATTGCTTGTCACCGTGCCATGAGGAGGCCGGATAAGTCTCAAACCTAATTTTTATCTTTCGTTTATAGTTTAGGGATAGATGCTATTTTATTCGACCGCCTCACGGCACGGCGACCGGTAACCAAACTCATGCATACGCTGTCACGAATGCACAATTATAGGCAGAATTCACTGAATAGTACCGCCAGTTTTTTGCAGATTTCTCGGAAACTAAGGCCGAGTAGTGGTTATATGTAAAGGAAAAAGTTGTTCAAAATGTTTATTTCTATAAGATATTCAAAAATCACTGAAATCCGTGAGGTGAAGATAACGATAATTACCTAGTAATTTATAATTTAAATCCCTCACTTATAATTTATAATAATTTTTAATCTATAAAAATCGAATAGTGTAAATTCAAAATAAAAATTGTAAATTTTCATAATTTTATAATTCAAATCGTGGAGGTTTTGGTTTGGTTCCAAGCGTAGGTGAGCAGCCTCGTGGAATCTAAACACGCGCTCGTATCCATTTGTGATTAATAATTATACCTAGAAAATACGGACGGTAAACCGAGCGTTTGTCAGGTTGAAGTATCGCGTACGATAATGTACAAACTGTCTCAGATTTATCTCTATTCGTTCGTGGGACACCGAGGGACATTCTCAGAACATCCATCAACGTACACGATCGCGGCATGCAAAGTGAAAAATAGTGTGAACACTGTACTCTGAAAGACTGATGAAACGTAATGTTGAAGCTTTGGAAGCTGGCCAACAGACAGACATTATCGAAGCTAATCTAATTTATATTATTCTGAACAATCGCAGAAGCTATGAGGAACTTTCATCAGTTCCGAAACCCTTTATATAATACCACTTCAAACGTTCTATACACATGTATGTAAACAAATCAGTCGTATTCAAAATTTTTGTTATTTAAATCTTTATGTGTGTGTGTTTTGTTACATACACGAGCGATCATTTTTATATCATATATTTTTTGTAGATTATACTTATGGATGAAGAATTTAAATTAGAAATTATTATAAGATTACAAATTTCAATTACAGAAATCATATTAATTAGCTACACAAATTGAAAAATACGTAAAGTGATGATATCACAAACACTGCTTTTTAAATCTACCTTAGACTCTATTTGATTCTATTGAGATTGGATTAATCGTATAATTATGTGATGAAGGTAAGAAATTAATACAAAGTGGAGTTAATTAGTTTAGCTTCTGAGAGAGATTCAAATATTAGAATATTTTCTGGTCTTATATATAAAACGTAATAATCGATTTAAATCGTTAAAAAGACGTTTAATCAATAGAGAATAACAATCAATAGAAATAGATTTAGAAGATAATTTTATTATATTATCAATAATCAAATTATTAATATGTCATACCCCAATACATATTTATTACGCTAACAAATTTATCAATTCTCACGGAATAATTATATGAATAATTATATCGTTATATCAGATAAAGAATATTTTATTAGCATTAGCATTAGAAAAATTCGCAGATTGTTAAAACCATCCTATTAAATCGTAACAAGATATAGAACAATATTGTACACAGTAAATATTGTACATAATACAAGTAAAGATTCCATAAACTTATGTGATTTTTATGCAACTTTTAAAATGATGGTCTTTTGTCGAAATTAAAAATTCTATTATGAGAGATCTCACTTGTTTGAAATTCATAATAAATTCATAATTTATAGAGTTTCATAATTTATCGAGAAACAAAGTAGCAAATAGAGGTCTATAAATTCACTGCATCTTCGTGTAATTCGTGTTACTGGATAATTTAGTAAAGCCATGTTAAATCTTATCTTATGAACCATAATCCTACACTTCGTTTCATTCTAAAATTATCTTATGTAGAAACGAGTGCATGCATCGGGTGGAAAATGTTAACTATATGCTGGAAACTCGACAGTTTTAATCTATTTTTATATTAATTACCTTTTTTATATTAAAATACAAAAGAAGAGAAAATTCCCTAAATTTTAGTAATCTAATATAAATCATGTAGTCATCTACAATAGAACGATACTATTTAAGGATGAAGTAAAATG